CCTTTCCTTTTTTTTTCTGTTCGTTATTTCCATTTGATATTTCAGTATAGCTTCTCTCGAATTTTCCGTATTTCAAGTATTTCTAAATGAGTCATATTTTAATTAGAACATAGAAATTTCCTTTTTACTTCGTAGGTGTATAAAATATTTTCGTTTATTTGATAGAATAATTTTCCCTGAGCAATCTTTTTCCGTTCCGCCTTCGATCATAACTATTGTTTATCGATTCCTTTCTTTTTTATCTTTTGTCGCCAGCAATTCGTTTCATTCGTAATCTTTTGGTATATTCCAAAATCCCATCCACAAAATATCATCAAATCGGATCAGTTTATTGAATTCCTTGCATACTTCATAGCTTCCATCATCACTTTTTCTTTTTTTTTTAAAAATATTTTTATTATCAATTTCAGCTTTAATATACTCCTTTCCACAGAATCTTCCAACGTTTCCAGATCATCTATTTCCATTATTTGCATGCAATATTTAATGAATTTTTGTATATCCGTTATCTCTTTCGTTTCATTTTGTTCTATCGTGATCGATTTATCGCTCATCAATGATTGATTCCTGATCAAAAAATACATCCTTAGATCTTGATTTATTAATCTTCATACCATTTTTCATTCCATTTTGCTCCCTTTATCGTCTTCCTTTAGCGTAAACTTCACCCATTCTATTTCTTCATATCTTCAATCACAAGTGTATATTTTCCAACAAAGTGAAACTTATTCGTTAAGTTATATCTAATTGATGATATTTTTCTTACCACTTTTTGAAGTCCTCTAATTGATGAATTCATCTTATCCTGTTCTTATCAATATTTAACATCGTTGTTGTTGTTGTTGTTGTTATTGTTGTTGTTATTGCACTGCTGTCCCAAAACCTTCAAATTATTTCGTTAAGTTAAAATTAATATAAACTATTTTTCAGATGCAAAACTTCACAGAAATAATAGAGAAATACTGCCGAGGGATAGCATACAGCAATACATTAGCAACAAACATCAATACCATCCAAGCAGTTAGTATCAAAACGATCCAATACGAACAGGTGACCAGGATAGTTTTAGTTTAACAGGTACTATTTTGAAAACCAATGAGGAAAAAGACAAGTAGCAAGTCGAAATGATTACTTAAATATATATAAAGCCAATTTGCTTAGTAAAATCCTTGATGATCTCTTCTACCATAGAAAAGTTATTAATATTCGGTGAGTTAATGGGTAGGGATTTTCTGCCATGGAACAATTCCTTCATACCCAATCTGAAAATCTTCCATTATACAACTCTCACTTGGCTTTGGTTTAATTCAGCTATTAATCAGGTAAAGCTATGTCACAAAATCATCTTAGATTGTTTTGAAGCTCAAGAGAATGCATTCCACTATATTTATATCATATATCATTTGGTTAACAAAAAACAAAAACAGTTAACTTCCTTATCATCATTCCTTATCAGCATTTACTGGTAATGCTAGTTACTCATAAACGATGATAATAATGATAAGAAAAAAGTTAATAACAGTATATGAGAATAATGAAAATTACATTTACAACAATACAATTTCGATATCTGTCCTGTTTAACATATTCTATTCCTTCCTGTCTTTACAACAAATCCACTATATTACATTAAAGCAAATCTTACGGAACAATTACATCCATTAGCTCAATAATCTTTCATAAATTTGCAATTTCCTTCATCTTTCTTTACCTTTCTTTCTTATCCATCATAAATATAAAAAAAATATGAATAAAGCGGTTAAACCACACACAAAAAAAAAAAAAAAACAATGAAAAATTAATAAACAAAAAGTCGGCAAATGTTTGCAATTATCGGTTGAAACATTTATTGAGTTTCCATTTGGTCGGATCATTTTGGACATCTATTTATCAATTCTCATTGTATATGTATGCTGGATAAACCGACTAAATTTTAACAAAAAAAAAAAAAGAAAAAAAGTGCAATGAATAAGCTTTTATTTCAATATACTATAGTGAATGAATGGAAATATTTCCCAACGAACAAAAAGGAATAAAACATAGGGGAGGAAGATAATCTTTGGGAGAAAAAACAGAAAAATTGGTTGTGATAGTTATATACAAATGAATAACAATTAACCATCAAATTAAATGTAAAATTGTTAAATGAAGATGAATAATTGATAATTTCAAACCCTAAAAGATAAAAATTATTTAATAGTAAAAACGATGAATGTGTTATCGCTGAAAAAGAAATGGTCAAAATGAAATTAGTTAAGTTATATGTTTAAACTTAACAACAAAGATATTGGAAGAAATGAATTAAAAATAAGTGAAAAATATCCATTTTTTTCCCTTATCACTGCGTTATATTGAAACGAAACAAACGATCTCATCATCAACTTTTTTTGCAAGAATTGTGTCATCAATAACAGGAGACAGCTGTGCAAATAAAAAACATAAAGTTGAAAATAAAACGAAGTCTATTTTAGCTTCACAGAAAGTAAAACCATTAAAGAATAAAATTTTTCAACTACCCATAAAGTAATCCAATCAATGGCCAGTTTTTAGAAATTTGAAATTTGAAATAATCAAAAGCTATAAAAAAAAGCATATGCTAATTTCAAACAATTCCTTTATACATTATGACAAACCTTACGAAGGAATAGTGTACGACGAACCATTTGTTGAGTGTTTAACATACCAAAAAATAGACATCGAAACTACTTTTACCATTTTTCTGAAAATCAAATCATTTATATCATTTAGGTAGTACTATGATGAGCGGCAATACAGACTATCCAAATATCGGAAAAATAATCATCTGATTATCGAAACTACCCAGAATAAATAAATGACGCAATGATATACGATGAACCATTTATTCAGTGTCCAACATATCGAAAAATAAACACCAAAAATACTTCGACCATTTTTCGTTATATCTGAAGAACAAACATCTGCATCATCTATGTGATATCATCATGAATGGCAATAGAGGCTACCGAATATCGGAAAGATAATCACCTAATCATCGAAACTATCCGGAATCTGAAAGACTATACCGGACCATCAAAACAATCCGAAATATTTATTGCAACTTGCTGCAATCGCAATCTTCACATGCATCAAGCACAAAACTTTCTCTCATCGCTCAAAAAAAAGAAAAAAGAAACTCCTTACTTCACAAACTACTCAACACTTTATTTCAGTCTATTTATAGTTCGGTTGTCGGTAGAATGTAAATCCAAATTCGAGAAAAAATTACAAAGGAGACAGCAGGAAAAATAAAATGTTTGATATTTTACATTTTCTATTGCCTGGAAAAAATATAAAATGTCAAACATAGCCTCCCAATTATGTTACATACGGAAGCAATTTTATCTGCTATTCAATGTTTTACTGCTCCCAAATGCTAAGGTAATCCAATCATTTGTCACATTTGTGAATTCAAGCCAAATTTTACGTTTCACATCAAAATCTTAAAATATTCATATCAATTGAAGCAATTTGTTTCCTCGGTTGATGTTACATCATCATTATTACCTGTAGTTTATTTCGTTTTCTTGATGCTGCTCAGATAGTAATTTTACCAATTTATCATTTTCTATCCTATACAATAATCTTGATGAAAAACGATGCATAGTGAAATAACGAAATAAACCCTCTTTTTTTCTTTTGACACATCGATTCTTTCATCTTTTATAAAATAAAAAGAGAAATTTCACAAAACATTTAACTTGTAACCGAAAATCAAATCGGTAAAGCGGAAAAAGAAACACTCAAAAAGATAAATACAAATATTTTTTATCGCGAAATACAATGAATGAAAGAGATGAAAAACAGGAATCGATATACACTGCGTTTAGGCATTTCAATAACGGACATTGGTTAACTATTAAGCGTACAGTTTTAAATGAAATGTTTAACGGACATTAGTCACTACAGAATGGTTTTAAACGAAATATTCCGCAAGTACCCTGAAGATAGCATCCTACATAATTATCAGTTTCTTGTTCGATAACCCTTATTTGAAAAGGATACCTACAACTCCGTTAGAAAAAGGCTGAAAAATTTTACATTATCGAAAATCATCAACTACCACCAATTTTACATTTCGAGCCGCATTCTAATCGATCACCATATCCATAGATCAAATTAAGGGTGTGGTTGCTGTTCGTCGAAACAGCGAAATAACTCAGCATAGACCTAGAACCAAAAACATTCCATTCCATTGTAAACAAATCCCACCATGTATATTCCCTGAGATTATAAAACAATAAACCAATCACACCGATGAAATTAACCTCAGGAAAAAAAAAGTTAGAAAACAACAGACAAAAATTGCATCTGTATCAGGAATAACATTTTTTTCTTTTCTTCACAGCACATTAAAAAAAAAAGTAATATAGCTTAACGTTCATGTAAACATGAAAGTAATGCGGTGTAAAATAAACACAAGGTTGACGACGACCAATACAATACCAAAGACAACATTTCCACTAAAATCCATAAAATAAGAAAAATTTTCTCTATTAAAATTTTTAAAATTACGAATTAGAAAACGAACACAAATAACTTTCATATAGACGACTCATTGATCTGCACGAAATCAAGCAATAATCATGACATCAAGTATAAACTTTCTTGGACAGTGCAAACTGCAACACTGTTTTTGAAAAAACAAAAATAAAATTTAAATTTTAAAAATGATTAAATAAAAATTTAAGGAAAGAAAAGACAAACAATCACAACAATCATATACGCTTCGCTGAATCTTAATTTGATAAAAGTTTCTGAAACACATTAACAATAACGACAAAGAGGATAGCTAAACATTATATAAATGTGGCAATGCCACCAAGAACTGAAGCAGATCAATTTAAGACGAAATAAAAACATTTTCAAATAATTCCTTTAACAATCAAAAAGGCCTTACTTTATTAACTGTACGAAGAAGATATTGACCCTCTTATTACTGTTGGATTAATCGTTAAACATTCTTAGAAGTAATCCATAAATTCCTCTTTATCCCATTTATATTTCAGCTCTTCTAAAAACCACTTGATCTTCAAAAAATCAACATTAAATTTGAAGATCTCCACTGCGACACACAAAAAAAAAAGAAAAAAAATAAGGAAAGTAATTATAATCATCTCAAGAGCAGGCATCACTATAATCGTACTGGAAACGTTCATGTGCTTCAGGTGCTGGTAAGCTTCCGTGAATGATTGCCTGGAAAAGAAAGATGCATTACTCTAAATTTTCAATACTAAAGATGTGATGGTATTATAAATACGATTCAAAACAGAATTCTATGGATGTCGTGAGAATTTGCTAGATGTTTCATAAGGTCCAATGACAAATTTCTTAATTTACCTGGATAATCCATTCAGATGAAACGACTGTAGCTCCTTGTGATCGAGCGATGTTCAAAACTTCCTCAGTGCAACTAGCATCCGTCAACAAAATGTCCAATCCTTCTAAAAGCAGTGTCATATTTTTTTCGAAATCAAATGTAGAACATTAAATTTAAACTTGAAGAAATGGAACCTTACTTCTTCCGCTTTCTCCATTTATCAATGAAAATGTATTTTGAAATTACCTGTTGGAATTACCGGGACAACAGTACCGCCCATGTGATTGATGATAGGAGTCCAAATTTGTGAGAAGTTCGGCATATCGTAGAAAACATTATTCGACGAAATGAAAATACGCTTTCCCGATAATAAGGTACCGTTATTTGAATGCCTAAAATACACCGAAAATGGAAGTAGCACAGAGAAATTTAAATAAATTTTTAAAGAAAAGAAAAAACCTTACCACGGTTTCATATCACCAGTAAGAAGGGATACTCCTGCAGGCAACATATATTTCATGTGATCCAATAACTTATTCTGAAAAGAAAAAAATAGAGATAAAAAATAAAAATAAACGATTTCCTTAAAAATGGTGCAACATCGCAAAATCGATCATAACCACAACAAAAAATAAAGTCCATTAAGAATGGGATTTCCTTAACCTTCTTAACCAAATTCAGGTAGCGCAAAATAAGTGACATCCACAAGGAATTAATCATCTGCTAGTCGCCAAATGACAAGTAGCCGTAAAATTGATGATTTGGCGGATTGACAAAGAACTAAGCAAGAAGTGTATCTGGGGGACACAACACAGTTCACCAAATCGAATAAACTCGTAGATTTGGAATTCTTACTTCTTTAGCACAATCGCTGATCCATTGGTTACTGACACACGGGATTGAGCGTGCCAATGCTGTGAGGTATTTGTGGGTACGATAGTGGGTATCGGCGATCAGATATATCGGTTTACCCTGGGGTAATTTCTAAAATTTCTGGAACTAGCTCAAAAGATATCAAATATTATGAAATGCAGCATTAATTAAAGCGTGTCACCAATCATTTAGTTTTTCCACATAATTTTAAAAAAAGCAAATTAATAAACCATAACATCATCGATCACTTTTCCACCACCATTTTCGATCATGCACCGTATTTCTTTTTTGCTAAATCCCTGTTCTCCTTCACGGTTTTTACGCAGTGCTGATGTTACGACGAATGTTATGCCGTTGAAAATTTTACCCATTGCTTAAAAAATGAAATTCAAAAACCAAGAAATTGCAAATGAATATAAAAATCCTTATTCTTATGATCATTTAGGCATTTTCTCATCTTCTCCAATTCGCTGCTCACATCTGCATATTTAGTTACATCTGCATAGCCTTTTCCTTATTTCCTCTTTTTGTTTACAAATATTAAAAACAAAAGGCCAGCAGTACTACACAATAATTGGATTCCAACTATGATGTTACCTTTTTTAGCTGAGCCACTCGTAGCTGAAGGCTCATGCTGCCGTTCCTGCAACTCTTCCGGTTCAACAAGTGTCTCAGTGTTTCTCGATGACGATGTTTTTGATGGAGCGGTATTCAGCTTTGGAGTTTCTTTTCCAGCTGCAAAATCGTGGAACCTCTATGCGAATATTATATCAAATATACAAAATCAATCAAATTTGAAATTAAAACATTTTTATATTTTCATTTTTTCAATTGAAACCTGTTTTTCAAATTCTTCAATTAAAATCTGTATTGAAAGATACTTGTAGAAGCGTGTCGACGAGTTCTTGTTGGTGCAACGGGAGTAACATTGGTACTATAAACAGCAGTGTGTCGAGCAGCTCGGCTGCGTCGTCCTTCAGCTGATGCAATATTATCTAAATTATTTTAAATATATCCAAATCTCATTCAAAAACTCAGAAATTAACTGAAAAATTGAAAACGATGAATAGGTACTTGTTGAATGAATTGCAGAAAACTTTTTGCTTAAACAGTCAAATAGCATATTTTGAAAACGAAATATATTCTACTCAAAGAATAGGTGAAAAACTTAATACCCAATAAAAGAATCGAAATCGAAATGGAAACTTACAATTTAAGACCAATAGTATTGTTCACAATTTACAAGACCTCACTTACAATTTACAAGACCCATTCAAACAGTACCGAAACCTCTTACGAAAGGTATTAAGCGATTTTTTCAGTGACGAGCGACAATACCTTGTAAAATGGGTCATACCAAAAATGGACAAAAGTAATGACATACCGGCATTGACATCACGCACTGTGTTAACCGTTGTTACTTGTAACGCTTTCGCCTGATTGCTATCCACCACCAACTTTTGCCATGACGATCTGCAAATGAGGAATGTATTGAAATGTAAATTAGAGAGGAATTGGTTCATATGATATATAGAATGAAATCTTTTTTCTATGACTATTTCAAGATTAAGCGAATCATTCGATATCAGCTAATAACAGTAAAGTGACTATTATACAAACATATATGCATCCTTCTTTTTCGATCGAAAAGAATAATAAAACTAATTATCATGTCACACTACCTAATAAATTCGTTGTTAGTTTGTCTACGGTCCAGACAACTTAGTCTTCAATGTGCCTATCCCTTATTGACATAGTCGTAGAATACACTCGCCTTATCATAAGTACTGCCTAATTGCTATCACACCATATACTATAACAGGTTATTCTGATCCAACTTGCAAAAGAGTTGACCAGTTAAATTGATATGATCTATTGGAAAAATGACTAAAAATGCTAACCAAAGGAAAATAACAGAATCACTTATGGATCTGTTATTGCTTTGATTGAAATTAGGATGAAACCTACTTGTTTGTATTTTCATTACTGGTGTCTTTAATTATGAACATGGCTTCCATCCAATTCTCTACATTATCACTTGATGGTGCTTCAACAATTTCCACTTCTTCGAGCACCTCTTCATCATCTTTGACGTTCCTTGTCAAACACTACAAAAGCCCGCAATAATTAAATTAAGACAAGACTGAAACCCTATTCGGAACATACCACCAATATCTTTGCCCTCATAATCAGAATACTAAACGCTAATTAAGTTACTAACTCTGCATGTCCTACCTCCCGCAGGAACTTTACAGTCTTAGAAATGCAACGGGCTCTTCGCCGAACTAATCCCATTTAATTAAAACGAGGTTTACTATAATCTTATATTCCCGAATTCCATTTAATATCAAAAACATATAAAATTAAGCAGATCACCTTTCGGCTTGCAACAAGATTACACAACGGGATAATGCCCGTTGCTACCAGTCTACGTATGGCACCATCTTCAGCAAAGACTACCTCATAACGACCACTTGCATCCGGTTCACTAGAAGTGTTAAAAATTGCGAAAACTATAATTTTCGTTCAGAAAAAAATATTAATAATTATCTAGACTGCAATTTAACTCTCAGATATTTAACACATAACAATCGGAACTATTTCGTATATATACGCATGCTTAATTATTTTAAATATAATTGGTTAATGTTCAGAATAAGAACTAGATGCAAAATTTTTCATTGTTCCAAAACTGAAGCGCTAACGCGGATATTCGAGCCGGATAATACAAACGATCCCATAAAGCATATATTCGTGCACCGACATTATATGTAGCGTGTTCATTAGGACGGTGATCTGCTTCAAACTGCTCTACTGCTGACAATTCCGGTAGCACCATTTTCGGCGGTCTTTTTGGTGTTACTGCTGGTGATGAGTCAATTCTAAAAAAAAAAAAAATTAGCTTTTATTTGGAAAATGAACTTCTAGATTCCTCATGCTGAAATTAAGCAACGACCTAAGGTTTGCATCTAAAATACGACGTACACAATGCAAATAGCTCAAAACTATGAATCCAGTTGGAATCATCACAATTACTCGAATATTAACAGGTAATTTCGATGTAAAATGTCATCCTTTGTTTTTTTGCAACTAAATATTCAAAACTTCCCATTCAGTAGAATCGAAATCTTTTGATTCCCAAAACTTGCTTGACTTGCTTTTACCATTCATCATTAGTTTCACGGTTTTATTGAAGCTTTTCAACCATGAAACTACACTGTTAACTGATACTGTCTAGTCACCAAAAAGTGCCTACACCGGAAATTTTGGAAAACAGCTGAATCAATGGACAAACAATAGACTTTTTGCTGACTATATAATGCAGCTTCTAATAAATGTTCAGTAGTTTATTTATGACAGAACTGCATTAATCTACACAATTGTATAACTCAAAATTTCACATCGTTCGCACAACAACAACTTACCGCAGCACACAAAACTACTAATGCTGAATATCACTAAAGAATAGAAAATAAGTAAAAAACGAACATTTTACGTTTTCGTTGTTTCGGTGATGGTTGGAAATTATACATTGAGTTCGTCTGTGTCTCTTCCGTTCGGCTTCCGGTTTTCGGCCGCTGCTGAAATACGATAAAATCAAGCAGATCTCTAGATAATTTTAAATTCCACAGACTCTGTAGTAGTTAAGTGGTTATATATAGCATTTGCTCGTTGCCTGCGAGTTTAATATTCCATTGGCAGCACTGAACTAAAAATGTTACACCATCCTTGCTTTAGCCTCAACTTATGATCCGCATTCTTATATTTCATTGATCCTGTCTCGCAATTTTTTCAAACGAAATGAAACATAATAGCTTGGGATATTCTTTTTTTTTCTGAGAGTCGGACAATGTTCTAGATCTCTAGGATCCTTTAGCATTTTTCATACTAATTCTATACTAATTTCATACATTTTCATACTAATTTTTCTTACGGAATTCCTCGGCAATCTCATAGTAATTCAAATGTTTTACTTTGGTATCATCCTGTTGTACTGATTTCTCTAACATGTTTGAACTTCCACTCAGTTCTGAAAATTCACCACCCATAGATTTCGTCTTTCTGCAAATACAAGTCATTAGAGGCTATTACATAGTGTAAAAAACTTTACTTAATGCAAGCAGTAGAATGAGTAACAAATAGACCTACTTTGGTAATGATAAAACAATATCACATCCAAAGAAAATATATGACAGCGGTATCAATAAGAAAGCGTAACTTTGAAGAACACTAACCTCTTCGTCGAGGACGTCATTGCGACTCGCCGACCTGCGCTTAGTGTCAATTCGGAAAGTGATTTATGAGTACTAACCTAAAATTAAAGTGTAGAGTTATCAAATGAAATGCAGAAATCCACAAATAAGAACATTGACATTTCATGCCTCATAGTGATGGAAAACTGCAGTAATCATTGAGATTGAAAGTCGAGAAGTAACAAAACATGATGAAGAAGGAAATGCCTACACTAAATTAGAGTATTTGCGTGACTGATGAAAGGAGGTCATAAATTAAATGCAGTGAGCAATCATGAAAAAGTATTATTTAATTTGCATTGTGAATCGATTGTGAACATATAGAACATATTTAATCGATTTTCCGAAACTGCAGAAGTCGTCAAAAATAAAGGAAATGCTACAAGAAAGAAAAAGATTAAAAAGAAGCCGGTCGCACGATTTGGTAGCAAAATATGCATTGAATTTCTCGCAATGTCGCATTAATCAATTAAAAACTAAACAAATGAATAGATTTCTACAAATACGAAGCTTTAAACAAAAAATGTTAAGTCACAATCGTGGATTTTGCATACCTCTTGCTGTGGTAAAAGACCAATAAGATTGGACCGTCGTTCATTAGCTGTTTGTTCAGTTTTCTGATAACGCCTAAAAGAATATTATAAGTGAAGGTTGATAAAGGCATGCTCAGCCCTAAGATACTGTTTGCTTACCTCCTTCTAAACGATGGAACAAATGAACTTACAATGTAGGTGCCTTTTCCGGCGATTTCGTGAATTTATATCCTCCAAACGATTGGCGTTCCATCTGAAAACTTATTAAGCGTAGACTAATTCTTTAGGGCACGAAGCACTTTGATTTGATTTCTTCAGATATCGACATGATTTTTTTTTCATTTGTTTCACAATTACATCCACAAAGATACACCGTCCTATATACTGCTTTCCGTGAATATTACCTCGAAATCTAGTCAAAAGCAGGATAATAACAAGTCGAAGTACGAAATGGACATAAACTTTAAATAAAAAGAGATGTATACCGATCTCTTAGAGCTAAGAATTGAATTACTAGCAAATTAATAATTCTTAAAACCAAACGACCAGTGATAAAGAAAGAAGACTAAATTAGTGCAATCATAACTATGACTTTGTGGATTTTTAGATATAAACAAAACGGCACACATAAAATTTTCACCTGGATATTACGTAGCGGTTCTGGATGATTGTCGAAATTGTTATCAATACTAAATGGATCTTTATCCGATTCACTTGTACGATCATGTTTCTTTTTCCCTATTTCTTTCTTTACAGATTTATGAGCAGATCTCGACCCAACTGCCGCATTTGAAGCTGGAAATTATTCAGTGAAGTGCAAACCATCTCAATTTTTTCTACAGCATTTGTTAAATCAATTTTAAAATTATAAGATTCGTCTCATACCGCTTTTCTTGCCACTTCTTCCAGACTTCATAGCTTTTTCATCAGCCGATTCCGATTCTGATATATTCTGGAAACTGATATTTAGTATTTTTATCGTTTTAATGAGATTTTACTTTAATCAATATTTCGAACTGAATAATGACAACATTAAACCTATTAACTACTCAGATATTCCTACTTCATATCTTGCTATTTAAACACTCTTCAACACTTAGTTCTTATCTGTTAAAAGAATATCTAATCGATGATCAAAATCAGTAAGTACCTTACCTTCACTATCTTCTCCTCTATTTTCTTTTCACGACGTATGACTCTGGCAACAGGAGTTGATCTACAAAAAAAATGTTATTGGAAGTTTTCTTTTTACTAATGAATAAAAAATAATGATTGTGGAGCGAAAAACAAAGAATTGTGTACCTCGGTTTCACTGAGAGGACACAAGTACAACACTGAGCATTCATTTCACCTGCCTTTCATGGATTCTTAATAAGCTTAAAATGATGTCTTGAAATGATGCACTCAATTTCCAGTTAAAATATTCAAAGAATCCGATGAACTGAATATGTCAAGGCGGTACTACATTCATTTACTCCCTGGTACTATCGTAGAATACGGAAGTGTTTCCTTTAGTGTAACAACATAGCTAAGCAACAGTTGAAGTCAGATCCTCCTAACTAGTACATTGCAAAGTAGATGGGACGCAATATTAATGGTACAGCATCTGCCACCAAACACATTTTTCAGACCACCGCATTCAATCAGTTCCACGATTTCAGGGCATCTTTTTCAGAAACTTCAGTAAAATTTACGTAGCAACTGGTTTCTTTGGTGTACGTAAACTTTTTCGCCGCTCCTCTGCCGCCGATTCACTCTTCACAGGGACAGCTTCATTAGAAACATCAGTTTTACGAGTACGCAAGCTTTTACGTCGTTCGTTGATAGAGTCATTGTTACCACCTTCTTGTGATTCTTTAGCTTCTGTATTTACTTGGTTACCAATAGCAACAGTGTGAGAATTACGTCTTTTACAGCTTCGTTCGGATTTCCTGCTTGGAATCTGAAACATTCCCAGTGACTGTTTAGTGACTGTAGATTAAAAACGACAAACAATAATTCTCTTTATTTATATCTCTCGAAGCGTGTCTTAAATAAATATCATAGGTTCTACCTCTTGAGCAGTGCCAATATCCTCTTGCTCTTCGCTTTTATTTTTTGAGAGTTCCTCGCTCGATTTCATCTTTCCAGCTTCTTCGGCTATTGCATCACTTGGCTCAGCACTTGATGCACCTTCTGGTCCATTTGAATACTGACCATCTGCCCCCGCGACCACTGCTACCAATTCCCGTGGAATTAAACTGTCATTCTTTTCTGCCTAAATTACAGCTTTTGGTGAGTAAAGTGAGTATATAACTCATGGATGCGCTAACATTTCGAAGGACATTCCAATTAATTTCATAATATGCTTGTTGCTTTTACATACAGGTCAAGAACAAGCTGAGAATCCCATAAACAACAACCAATTCAAAAATACAACAACTTCACATACATTATGTTCTGCATCAATATTACTTCCAGTTGCAAGAGAAGCACTGCTTTTTTCTTTACGGATGATTTCAATATGATTTTTTCCAGTGGATCCTTCTCTCGATTCACGAACGTACTAAAATGATAGAATATATTACTTACTAGATAAATGTCATGCAGTGCATTTAGCCAAGAGATAAAGAATAAGCAAAATGAATTTGATCGAGTTTTTAAAACTATAAAGCGGAAAAATGTAAAAACCGAAATGAAAAAAATAATGAGATGGATTAAGATAGGGTATGTTAAAGCTAGGAGTCAAAGATAATAAACCTACAGAATAACACTTCCGTCATTATCGAAAGAACAGTTGAAAAAGTTCATTTACCTCTGTATTTGTTGTGACAGTTGTTACTGTGCTCGCTTTTTTTTTTTGGGTTTGCTCTGTGTCACTTCGCCTAAATTCGTCAATATAAAAGATTGGCGACAAAAATAATAAAATAAAAACAAAGTATATAAATGTGTGCGGAGAGAAAGGACCAGTACTTTTGTTTTTCGAATTCAGCGTTCTTTTCGCGATTCAGTTCTGTAATGTCTGCGAGATCCTTCTGATCTCCAGCGATGTCCGCATCAACTGCTTTCAGTTCATTGGCTAGTGAACTACCCGGTTCAGCCTTAATGAAAAACTGTTTAAATTGCTAAATTGGTTCCATGACAAAAGATTTTTTTATATGATCGCAATCAGTAAACCAGATTATATTTCTTAGATTCCTAAAGCAATAGCACCTTTTCTTGTATCTCAGATCTGCTGATGCCAAACAAAATCCGATAACATAGATTTATGGTAATCAAAGGCGACGCTAGAAATTGAACTCCAAGGCAGAAAAATACTGCATCTTCCATTAAATAAAAAACAACTACTTATTGATAAACTAAAATAAATGCATACAACATTCTCGCTTGTGGTGATTGTTGCGTCAGCCTCTACGGTATCCACTTCCATTGGTTCATCATGCAAATTGTTGCTGTCTGATTCGTCTACTTTATTCTTATTTCCTACAATAAAATTAAATTATTAAGATATTATTTATGTTATAACAATTAAAACGAAAATGACCTCGATAAGCTAGCTTTTCTTATTGAATTCCAAAAATGGTATACCTGACGATTCCTCATTTGCTCCATTTTTCTGACTGCTTTCTGACTCGCCCTAAAATATTGTACTGAAAATGTTTTTTAAACAACAAAGTTAACGCAGTCTCTGATTAAACAAATCATTTGGTGCTTGAATACTACAAATATAATACACATCGAATACACCTGCACAAGATGTATGATATCGTCCAAACATTTAACTTATTTTTTCCACTGACAGACAATCAGTGGTTTGTACAGCAAAAAACGACAATATCTTATCAACATATATTTGACAAGCCAAAAAATAAATATTTTCGACAACCACCCAGCTGTTGTCGGCCTTATATGATAAGTAAGGTGGTTTATGAAAGAACAATTAACGGTGATTTATGAAAAAACAATTAACGGGATGAACTAACACTCAAACTTTTACAGGATCAATTACTTACAATTAGTATAACTTGCTTACCTGTAAGTACGAAGCACTTCGTCCAAAAAGTCCTCCCCTCATTTTGTACAATGGATCCTCTTGCGATTCATCATGTAAATCTCTGAAATTTTGAATTCAAATCTATGGTATTTAAATACAACTTTTAAAATCTCCCCGAAATAAGAGTAGGAGGACTTTTTTCTCCAAGTCTTTTTTTTCTGAAAAATTCTTAAATGCATTAGCAAAAATTCCGCAGTGGATACTGCTTAATTTTTTAAGACATGAACCAATGGCTACAGAGAGAAGAATTACTGTGATATTTCAAAATAATTAAACCTATCATAATGGAAAAATGGAACTCTGATTCTGTTAAAGACTTCACATACTTGCCTTTTAAATTCACTTATTAGCCTTTTAGTTCCACTTACTGAATGACTAAGACCCAATTAACGACAATTCCTTCGTCCATATTGTGTATACGATAGTAGTTATAAAACTTTAATTTTGAATATTTACGGTCTGGCAAATGTAAAAAATAAAGAGCGTTTTAATTCCAATGTAAAATTAGGTCCTAATATTAAATTAAGGCAGCTTACTGATGCGCAGTAACTGACTGTTTGCACGATCCATTTTCATCTTCCGCATCTGTAAAAAAGTCATTGATGTATTGAAACATGAAAAAAAAAATCCCTACGTTAGCAAAGAAGAAAAGCATTTGGTGGAGCTTTTATCACCATTATATGGCATATTTCAGGAGTAATGATAGCTTAATATGCAAAGCAAAATGAAGGCATAATTTCAGCTATAATAAAGATTACAAAAATAACACATATTACTGCTGTAAAAATAACATACCGTTTTCATGAGAAAAACAATCTGCAGTTGACATTTTCAAAATTATGATGCAATGCAATACACCTCAATAATTCAATGAAAATAAACTATTTGTAAGTGCTGAAAAGAAATAAAAACAAAAGAAACAAAACATATTAACTGCAACTGTTCAATAATTTCACGTATTTCGTACGCTCCATAGAAATAAAATACACATTACTGTTGCATTAACCATCAATTAATATAGCCATCACGTTACTTTTCACCTGTTACAAAGGAATATTTCAATGGATGGATGGATGGAAGGATCGAAATAACATGTCACGTGCAAACATGTAAGAAACATGCATTGAAAATAACCAAAAATATACGTAATATAACATTAGACAGATTAGAGCTAACACTTAAAAAGCAAGTGTAATTCCGTGAAAGCGAGTGCAGACATTTACGGAAAAAGAAACCGGACCATTACAAGAACAGAAACCGACCGTTACGGAAAATGTAACAACCAAGTATGAATGAAGTAAACCGTATAAAACTGGAAATGAGTTGCAGTAGACATTCCTTTACACAGATTGCAGCCTTATTTCGCAGTATACGAAATATATCATTTGGCTACTGGATTGTGTGACATGCTGGATTCGGATGTTTTTGTTAGATCAATTTGTACAATAAAAAAAGCACTGGGAAGTATATTTGCCACGAAAGGAAAGTCGGAAATGCAGCTTACACAACATTATCCGTTTACCGGATGACAGATTATACGAATTTTAGGTGTCCTGGTTTGTCATTACTTTGAATGAAACGAAATACCATAATGAATGAAAAAAATTAAAATTAAATTTTTAAATTACTTCAAGGTTGAAATTTCACAGATGGTTATTACATGAAAGTAAATAGCTTAAGTTTAATTTTCATGCATGAATATGTCAATCTGTCAAAGATTGGTAATTTTTTGTTCGTATTGTTACATATCATTTCTTTAGCTTACCTGAAAAAATCTTATCCAATGGAAGAGAATAGGTATATATGTGTATTTCTACTTCTAAGCAAATAATCTGTAATTGTGTTGAACCTTGATCTCTTCTACTACAATGTATGTTATTACAGTTAAGGTGAAACTTCATCCCTCTGTTTTCTTTCATTGCATTTTCGTTGATGTTATTTGAAACAGCCTTTTCCTACCAATCATTTCACCCCTCTATGGTTAATATATTTCAGATCAATTGAATAGTACCACTTCACATAAACTGTTAAATAAATCTGCTTGGTAAAAATTCGACATGATATCCATTTCATCTTTAAGTTTACATATGATTGGAATTCGGGAAAGACGTCAGTTAAATTTTAACATTTAAAAAGATTAGATAAAAAAAGATTAGATAAGGGAAAAAAAAGAACTGGAAATAATATAATTTGTCATTTGCCTACGTCACTCTATCCTAATATCGCACTACCAAAGCTTTCCATATGAAATAAAAGTGTCCTCATTCCACATGAAACATTAGTTTCAGTTCTAGCTCTTTAGTAGACATATTACTGCAACATAAGAATCAGCTACTCTTTTTCTTAAGATTTATCAACTATAATCATTGAAACTGCGAAATTTGTCAAACATCATCTAAATCTACAGTATACTAAATTTAACTTCTATTGTTTATATGATGCGATGCAAAAACTGCAATCTACGTCTAGTTACACTAGTTGTTAGGACAAACAAGATTAATGCTTTGATTTTTATTTTAAAGTTCAGTTGCATCAAGGAACTGCATGTTATAGAAAATGAACAAGTCAGAACCTAATGAAAGTAAGAGCTTACCTTCAGAAATTACAAGCAAGAAATATTGCGAAACCAACGATTTACAGTGGTAAATAACGAATAAGTTACACAGATTATTTTCACATCTAGAATACTGGACTTCATTGATGAGACAAAGGTTTATCTTGTGTTCAATATAAGTTTACATTATTCGAGTAATGTGTTGTTTAAGAATAATCAATACGGAGAGATATAGCCGAAGATTAGTAAAGACGGACAAAGATAAATAATTGTCTTTTTAAAGATTGTTCGGATATATGCAATCAGTGATTGTAACAATAACAAAAGTGGATTAAAAGTTCTTAATTCATTTAAAGAGTATTTTGATAATGAAAGCAAAAACAAAAATATCACAGATGGATAAAAAATATCAAAAATATGTTTTTTGATAGTAATAGTTACATTCTTTCTCATCTTCCCATTTTCCTCTTTCGTTAAATATTTTCAATATTGTTAAATACTGCTTTCTTTTCTGTTTGATTTAAAAATAACTCATCGACTTTTAAATTAAGTGTTCTATCAGTAACTATCACGGAGAAAAACTTTTTCTGCGTCGTGGAGCTTGCCTCGCGGGATTTCAGATTTTGAAGTGAAGGTAACCCCAAATTACTAAGGGACAGATTATCGTTGTGCATCGGTGAAAAAAATGATTGACAAAAATAGTTGGAACAACTACAGAGAACAAAATACCACCAACCAATTTCTCAATGTTACTGAAAAAGATCCCACAACTGAAATTATTTCGATAAATTAATTTATTTAAGCAACGAATGAACAACAGTATTAATGTCCAGACTTTTCAAATCTTTATAGGTTTGTCCGGTACCAACAAATACAATCGGTTGTCCAGTAATGTATGTCATTGAAATTGCAGCGCCAACCTGAAAATTTTCATTATTTGCCATCGGTTTCTTATTTTTGAGGAAAGTGACCAAACAGATTTAGGATTCTCCTCATTTTATCCACATTTAGGAAAAGCAAATGTCCAGAACCATCGGATGACTCCGCAAGTTGTTTCGAATGATTGGTATAATCAACAAAACAGTTATCAAAAGTTCTGGACAGACAAATTCCGGAGCATAATGGTTTCCAGAAAGTAAATGAGCCTCGTATAACTGGAGCATTTGAATTAGAACTTACTTTATCATCGACAGTGTCAAATTTTGTTAATACGATACCATCGATGAGTCGGCCCTCAACACCTAATGCAGCATGGTCTGCTAATGCCTGATTGAATTTCACCAGTTGATCGACAGCTTCATTTCCAACCAATGCTTCACCCACGAACAGTACTAAATCCGGCTTGTTCAGTTGAATCAGCTATAATAAAACACAAGTTTCAGCATCGATTTTATCTTTCGGACTGCACTCAAATAATGACCAGAAGTTTTTTAAATTAACAGAATAATTCCGAGAAATCAAAAACCTTGGCCAGAGAACGCATGAGTGGCTCATTGTCCTGCATACGACCAGCTGTGTCAACCATTACTACATCAGTCCCACGCTCCATTGCTGTAAATATCTTCAAAAACTAGAACTTGAAACTTGACTGAAGTACCAACTGGATAGTATATTCGTAAAGAAATATAATAAAGCATTCAGTGAATGAGCCGTTGGTATGAAAAGAGAAACGATCAGAATAAGTCGTCGGTTTGAAAACAGAAGTGATCACTTCGGGACTTATGGAGATATTACAAATGATAACTCAGTAATCGAGATTTCACAAAATCATAATTGAAGTCAAATTTATTTCATCAATTTATCAAAAAGAAACCTATAGAAATGGCAGCAGCAGTAAGTCCCGCCGGATCCTTCCCATAACCTTGTTCGTACAGTTGAACACTATTAGGATGCAAAGCATTAAGATGCATTGTGTGAGTTCGCAGTTGTTCCACAGCTCCTGCTCGAAATGTATCAGCCGCCGCAATCAGCACTTTATGTCCTGAATGTTAAGAGAAACTTTTTTGGTTATAAGGTTTCTGAGATGCAAATTTCACAAAAAAAAAAACAGTACTCTCCCACCAATTCAACAGAACACAGATTGCCATCACATAATGTTAAAAATACCTTCCAATTAGAACCTTTGAGTAAAAGGTTGAAAGTGAACTGAAAAATTAACATACCATTTTCATTTAACCAAAAAGTAATTTTTGCAAGATTTGTTGATTTTCCCACACCATTAACACCACAAAACACAATTATGTATGGGCGTTTCTCACGTTTTGCTTCAAAAATATCACGTAGTATATCTACGCGTCGTCTGGGTGTTAGCAACTATAAATATGTAATAATGATCGGGACTTAAAGGGAGATAAATACAATAATGATTTGTGAAAAATCGGTATTAAGTTTAATGCGGCTACACTTATCGCCTCATAGTATCTTAAGACAGCGTTAGACTATAATCCCGAGCAAATCCCGGTACATTATTTTGTAATATACACAAAAAATGTGTCGATATACCTGCACCAGAGCTTCACGAACGGATTCCTTCACAATACTTGCAACACGACTGAACGTTCCCACCACTTTACCTTCCAGTTTCACTTCTACTGATTGGCAAAGTTTTTCCGCTGGTTCCGCGGCAACATTTTTTGCTTAAAGCAGAATAATTTGGTTAATGTTCATCGTTAAAAGCTATGTCAAAAATACATCATACAAAAAAAATTTCTTGTGATTTTTAAAATGCTTCTGTAATTCCGTAATTTTTATTTCTACAAAATTCAATTTTCAAACTTGAAAATTTTAATTTCATCACCAATATTAGAACTCTATTCTCAGAAATTGAGACTAGTCTTACAAACAAAGAACACCGAAAAACTCTTGCATACAGCTTTAATCCTCATTTCATGTCCCGTTCCTGGCTGCCTATACCAAATGACACTAATATTTATCGAAAGACATTTCCAGCTACAAGCACCTATTCTACTTATAGGCGTATTGGATAACTCACCAATCAGAGTTTCTCGCATCTTATCGAGCACAGGTTTGATATCTTCGACCGTCAACTTTTTATTCCCAACAAGTGAACGGAAGGCCGAAAACCACCTACCGTGACCTTTTTCTCCATTCATTTCATCATCTCTGAAAAATGCGTAATCGATTTTCGCCCAGAAATGCAAAAAATTCATTAAATCTAGGAACAAATCAAAATAAGTCCAAATCCTTCTAAAGAAATCAGCCTGATCATCTTACAGTGCAGTAGCACGGACAGTGAAACAGAAGGCTAAAATAAAGAGATACTTCGTAGAAGTATGAGCAAACTAGGTAAGCATCGTTACTAACCCATGAAAACCCAGACTGATATATTTTAACTAGCGGATGAAAATATATGTAACAACTGGAATCTTAATTATTCTAAAATAACTGGTATGTCAGCAGCTATGCAATAATCCGATAATAAACTGGATGAGTTGCAAACAGTCCTGAAGATTTTTCAATCACATCCAGCACTCTCAGATGAAATTTCAGGAAGCTTCTACCTCGAAATCCAGTTTTAACGGTTTCTAAGCTTTAAAGTTAGCTTACTCGTCTTCAACAACCTCGAGATTTTCACTCTGCTCTTCGATTAGTCCTGGCAGCTCTCCTTTGAAATGACCAACAAATTGCATCTTAAAATACAAGAATTATTAAGCCCTACATGACCGATTCCCGATCTCGAGGAAGTGCTCTGCATTTAATTTATTTATTTTTCTTGTTTCCGATGAGTTTTTATTGGTATAACACAGTTACTTGTTCTTCCACAAACTTTCTATCGTCCTGCTTTGTTATTTCCACAATGTTATTTCTTTTTTCCTTGCTGTAATCCAAAGAATCGATATCTGCCTTGCCGTTTCCGACAAGATCCCAAACACGCGCCTGTTTACCTTTTTTTGATTCAACTGAGACAACATTTTGTTTTTCCGATTCAGTCCTAAATAACCATGAAAATTAAATTGTTTGGAAGACCAGCAAAGTATTCCGCGACACGAGAGCCCAGAACGGTGGCCTGAACTAGCTAGCGAGTGTAAGTGCTAGTAATAATTTAAATTACAATAAATTAAATATGGTTAAAAAGTGAACAGACACAGCATTCGATAAGAACATTTTAACCACCGTTTAACTAAATTTCATATAGCACTCATATGTTTGAATCGTTTGTTTCTAATTGAAATAAGTTGGAAGGAAAAAGAAACCCAAATTTCTTTGTTCCCTTCTTCTTGAAAAACTCCGCTCGTCGACGCTGTATTTCCTCTTTTTCAGTATCACTTTTTGGCGAATCAGGGGCAATATCTGGCTGAGATAATTCTTTCTTCACCTTGCTGAAAAAAAATCTATCAGAAGCAAAATAGTAGGTTAAAGTCAGATTGCAACTTATGACCATCAACTATATTCTGTGATGCAATCTATAAAAAAAAAAAAATGTTACTCTAACTCTAACCAACCTAACATTATAACCGTTCGTTAACTTCGATCCATTTATTTTAGGAGATATAACTTTTCCTTGGCTTTTCTGCTTTAACCGTTTCTGCTGCTCTTCTTTCTCCTTCAAGAGCTTCGCTGACTTCTCATTGGGGCGTTCGATTATAGAAGCTATTGTTTTCTTAGATTTCTCGCTTTCCTGAACAAAATGCAACATTTTTACGAACTTCGTTATCAAGCATAAATGGTAAAGTGGGTCAGGTAATTGCATCGCGAAATCCTTGCAAATTAGTTTGAGGAAAAAAAATTAGAAACATAAAAATTTATCGGATGAAAACCATTAACGAACCTCAAATTTCCGCATTACTTTGTCGGGTTGCTTAGTTGATAAAATTTTAGCTTCATGATATAGTCTGAAAGTAAAAGTTTCGATTCTATCACTGGAGAAAATGGCTTAATCACCACTTTATAAGTCATAGATGAAAGATTTACGCTACCATATACTGCTTACTGAGACTATCGATAATTCATATTACGATCGTAGCAGTTCAATGTGCGAGTTATCACTGTAATTTGAAATTCTCCACCCCTCCCACCTCACTTCTCCCTAAAAAAAATCGTTCCAGTGTAAGTCAACGATCCCCTTTAAAAATCTGGATCCTCCTCTTGCATGTCATCAATTTCTATCATCAAATCCAGTATTACTTTTTGCTTATAACAATAACACGCGATTTTCAATTTACTTTTTCCTAATTCTTAATAAGAAATAAAGAGGGCAAAACTTACTGCTGGAAAACATCATTGAATTGCTTATACGTACGAGTAGTTGATGAGAAAAGCGACTTGTTATCAGAAAGGACATTTTTGTACATGTCCCGAAATTTTTTGTGAACATCCGATAAAAGCTGATCCGTATAAGCAAGCTGAATAGCACTCTGATAAATGACCTAAAAAAATTGATTTTTTTCTTGGAACTTTCCACTTCCCAACCTATCGCCTGTTTCAACTGTAAAAAAAATAAATGATAGACGTAAAATAAAAAACAGGATGAAAGAGGATTACATTCTTTTGGCTTACAGAAGTTGGAAATACCCAACTTCATGTTATGGCCTCAAGGGTTCAAAGGATTTCATGAAGGCTATCTTTCGCCTTTCCTGTATTCTCCAAATAGCTTAGGAAACCATTTAACTTCTTCTGTGATTCACACACTACTCGATCCATTTTCTATTTCTTAATTTTTCTAAACTATCTAAGGAATACAATTGTTTTCCCTTCTAGGTTTTCTCAAGCTGCTTAAAAGTACTTTTTATCCCTTTTAATTATTTCAAAGCTTTTTGGTTTTTCCAGACTACTCAAAAGATGCCTTCTTTTTTTCTGTTTTATATGTTAGTACAAAATTACGTTGAAAATATAAGGGATTTCAATAAAGTGGTATCATTGGGAATAAAATGAACCTACAATAAAAACAAGTTCGAATTCATTGTCTAATTTATATTTAATAGTTAAATCATCGTGCTTGAAAACTGTCGTATTTCCACGTTCCTGGAATTGTTGGAACTGAACATGTATACAAGTTCAAATACATGCTTTTAACAATTAATAAGTAACATGACATATTCCACCAATGAAAAACAAAACGAAACAATTCGTTACCTTAATGAATACTTATTTCAATGTCCAAATAATATTTCGCGTATATTTCCTGAGGAACAGTTTCCCCAAGAAGAGGATTAAAAGAAGCTTCTTTTTTGAAACAGTCAACTTATATATAACAATTGCGTGAACATAAAACCGGAATGATGTTTTTGATTTATACCAAATTTTTGGATCCGCAAGCTGCTTTAAGCAGTGTTTTTGAATCTATCAAATTTTGGGATGCATTCTTCTACGAGTCAGCTTTAAAATTCTTCCTTTAAAAAATTATTTAAAGCGCTAGTGATAAAAAATGACATCAAAACTACAAATCATTACCAATTTCAGCCATTGTTTACATAATAAGATTAAATTGGGCTCCACAATCAAACACCTCTAAACTAGTACTGACCAGTAAAATGATTTAATTTTATACGGATAAAGGATAAGTCGGCTCATTTAGCACCTACCATTTTCCTCGAATTTTTAAATGATCATCTCTAAACAGTTACATTATATGACTTACTTTTACTTCATTCATAAATTTTTCGCAAGGTATGTCCGGATAGAAATTCAAACAAATGTTAAAATCCTTTAATTTACACTACTCAGCTATAAAAAAACTCTAGCATTTATTCGTATCAATCACATTTCTCTCATAACCACTTCTATTGTCAAAATAACAAACCTCTAATCTTATCTGTTTATCTAAATTTACTTTGCTTCCGGATTATGCGCATACTTTGCTCATTTATACTAGTTGGTAATATCGAAATAGCAAAGATAAACCTGCATCAAAACTTCTCTGATCAGCTGATTAACTGAATCAGTGAACAGTTGTCCTCCTTCCTGGAAACACCATAGCACAATGCCACCTTTACCGAAAATTGTGAATAGTTCGATCATAATGATCTCACCTAAAAACATTCCTATCAAATTCCTAAAAATGTTTGTGAAATTAATTAAAGTTGCAAAAAAAAAGAAATCAAACGATTAGCTCAAGTGTTACATGAAAAATTTACGCACTACTGTAGGTGAACTTAAAAACGAGATATTTTCAGGATTACTGTAGCGGCATGAATGTCAAAATTATAAACCCATGAAATGCACTAAATGTTTAGCGACACTAACTTCACTATAATATGTGTATATGACGGGGAAATATTTAAGGATGAAATTATTTTCATGATCGAACAATTATAAACAATCAAAATTTAAAGCACAAGAAAACTGCTAGTGAAAATTGTTTTGAAGAAGCAATATATAAAGGTATATCGACAAAACAATTTTTACACGGAATACGGGTTATATACGCAAATAAGTAATATAAATCGGAGTGTAACAATTCGAGAAATGTAAAATTTGAGCAATCTCAACAATTTTTCTTTCTTTTTTAAAAAAAAAAATTTTACAGCAATTCTTTTTCAACAACAGATTATTCCATAATTCTTATCAAAAATTTTTACTAACAGTTTTCAAAAGAAGATAAGATACAATTATACAAAGCAGATAAAATACAATTTCCTTTATCACTAGCAACACACATTATTCCATAATTCTTATCATTCTTTGTCTCCTCTCTATAAATAATTAATTATATAATTCCCTATCTCCTCTCTATAAATAATTAATTATATAATTCCCTATAATTAATTAATTATTCTATTTTCTCATTTTTAATTTATTAACAAAAAGACAATCCCAAAAATATCTTCGAAATCTTCCCGCCACATAATCACCTCATCAATATCACACGACAATCTTCCTGCACTTTACATATGTAACTTCGCACCCTAAACAATCTATATCTCTTCATTGTTAATATATTTCTCTAAATCTATCAATCTTTGCAATCTCCTAAAATATTGTAATATTTCTAGAATTTGGCTCAATCCAACAATTTAACCGGAATATTAGTCAATGAGGGAATTGATAGCTAAAAATACAAACGAATGTTCGTAATGGACGCGTGGTTTGCGTGATTTGCGTGGGTTATAACGAATACCGTAGGATGACGTATTTTAATCTTTGGTCTTCTTGACATACACGTACTGTAGTTTGTAATCTTTTGATCTTTTTGACTTATAACGTATTTTAGTTTTTAATCTTTTTGATTTATGTATTTTAATTTTTGATCTTCTTGACATACGCATATTTTGGTTTTTGATTTTTTTGGCATACACGTACTTTAGTTTTCGATCTTTCTGACTTATATGTTTTGGTTTTTAACCGTTTTGATGTACACGTACTAAAGTATTTTACACGTACTTTTTATTTTACACGTAGTACACGTACTTTCTAGCTTGCGCTTATTTTTGTTTTGGACCTTTTTGACTTACGTATCTTGGTTTATGATTTTTTTAACTTATGGTAAAGGGTTTTCATTCAAAATAAATATTTGTGTTGTGATTTAAAACATTTACGTTTATGTTAACCAGCGTGTTTCATAAACAAACATTTCATATTATAGTGTATACCACAATCATTTGTTATTTATTTGTTGTTCATCATCCATATGCTTAAATTTGTATTTAAATTTATAGCAGATTAATCAGAAATAAATGGTAAACTAGAGTGAAAATGAACAATTTGAAATGCATTGCTGAAGTTAATTATTGAAAAAATTTGGACTCAGAGATTACCAATACTTTGCGAATTTCTGATGTTCAAGCAAGGATGCAGCATAATAATATTCTTCATCCGAGCACCCAGAGGGATACACATCATCATATTATCGAAATTTAAGCGATTATTTAAAAAATTTCAAGTAAATAAAGAAGATAAGAGAGATAGTAAGCGGAACATAAAGCTCATAAACGCGTGCTTTATGTGGCATGAACCAAGTGAATATTATCCTTTATATAAAACAAATCACGGGACAACTAATTTATGCTTGGAAAGCTTGACTTCCGTTCGATGATATCCATGAGAAACTCGTGTTTCATTAAATAAGCCAACTACTGACATACGTTGTATCCTTGTGAAGTAAAAAATAAATCAATTAAATGTTGATTACACAAATTATTATTTTTCAGGTATAAAATGAGTAAAGATTTAAAGGAGGCATATACATTTGGAGAAGAGCAACTTCTATTAATTCAACGTTATTTTATGTCTGACACATCTGATTATATCAATGAAAATGGTATGCAGATTGTTTTATTCTTATGCAGACATTCGTTGTCTATTCTTTTACAGATAAACGTTTAATTTATATATAGAATATTAGGTATTAGATGTATTTTTCTTCGTATTTTATTCATCACTGAAAATGTATATGTATATTCTCGCAGAAATCAAACATTTTAGCCAAATCATTCTCGCTGATTTAGAAAAAAAGTAAACAGAAAATATACATACATATATATATATATATATACATATATATATATATATATATATATGAAGAAAAGAATACTT